ATTCAACCCCTTCTTTGAGGTGACATAATTTCTTACCATTCAACATACTTAAAGTAATCGGTTCCAGAGTTAGTTAGAAATATTTAATTGATGTAACACCATATGTACGAACATTTTATGCATGACTCAAAGTAACCTTAAATTCTTGAGTTCACTATAAGGCTGCCTTGTGAGCTTACGGGGAAGCGAACTGAAGAATTTTAGGTTACTTTGCAATGCTCATTAAAACTGGTCTTTGCTAAGATTACTTATTTTAATTGTCGAAGCACATTTGCCAGAGAAGCATTGAGCATGGCAGGTAATTCTACATCTAAAAGAGATAGTGGAGTTAGTTATCTTGAGGCCCAGATCCACGATCACAGGGTGTTCTATCTTGGTCAACGTTATGTTGACCTTGTGTCATGTATGAACGTTTATCAACAAAAACGGTTTCTGCTCTTAAAGTAAATACAATTGAGTTGATAAAACCAATTCATTTGTCATTGGGTTATTTAAATTAGTTCAACATGAATTAATTCAATGCAGGGACAAATATAGGTAAACAGAATTAGATTTTATTTAGTGGAACAAACCATTTGGTGTATGTATTCATTTCCTTTTAAAAGTTTTTTTTTAATGTGTTGAGCAGAATTAATGAAATTTACACCATACAGATAAATGTGGATTTGGTTCAGGTAGCAAAAAATGTGTTGGATGGAAAAACTGCTGTAAATGAAATTGAGTTGATCCAACGAGTCATTTTTTGGGAGTGTAATTTGTTTTGAGTGTATATTCCCTTGATTTTAGCAGATAAGTAGGAACATTTGCTGATTCAGTTCCCCTTAATAAAATAACTTTATCTTATTTAAATTGCATAATATCCAATTAGTTTTCTTTAAAGGCAAAAACTCATTCAATTTGCAGATCATCTTATCTACCTGACTCAGTTAAGACCAGAAACTAGTGTTGCTTGCTCAGTTTCTCTCTTTTTTGCAAGTTGCTTTAGTTCCTGATGGGCAGCACAAAACTGTGAAAAGTCTGATGGAACATGACATCAAAGTGAAATGTAATCCTCATCCCACTGGAATCCCATTCCAAAAGGTCTAATAGGAATCAGCTTCAGGACCGCTTATGTCTGTGGTTAAAATGTAATTTGAAAAAGTCAGACACAGGCCTTATCTGAGCATCCACACTGACCTGATCACTGCACAAAAAAAAAGTCAGGTGTGTAGAGATACTAAAACATGCAGGACAGCAGGCAGACAATGAAGTTAAAGAACTACATCCAGATCCGTTTGCAAACCTTTGCAAAATCCCATTAAAGTTCATCTCCATTTTATCTTCACTGTCCCCTGTAGCACTCACTGTAGACTCATATCACACACACACACAAAAAAAATCATTGAAGTTTCAAAAAGAAAGAAATCCAAGGATAGAAATCCAGAAAAGTAGCTCAGTGTTTCTGATGCTGAACGACTACAGAAACAAATCATATTTATGTTCTTTATTTTCCTTCTTCTCAGAGTAACCTCTCCAGCAGACCAGCAACAGTTAAACAAGAAAAAATATATCCACATGTAAAAACCATGTGTCTTTATCTCAGTGTAAAAACAAAGCTCTCTTTAGAAAAAGCTCATCATTTGATGGAACAGGAACAAAGGCAACCTTATATAACCTCGGTGTGTTTGACCTTGCTGTCTTCGCAGTGAAGTCCAGGGCTTCTAAACTCTGGAGCATAAATCAGCAGCAGCTACAGGGCGGCCACAGTTTCTCAGAAACCCCAACCAGAACATGAGGATGCCTGCTGTAGTTTATAGTCGGGTCTCAGGAATGGACGCTCTGTAACGGTTTAACAAAAGCCGATGTGCATCGCTTTCTACAAAGAGAAGTCAAGGATTGGCAGAAATGCCATGAATGTTCATTTAAAAGATGCTATGGCAACCTCCTTGGCTGATACTCTAACAGATGAAAGACAGTATTTCACTCACCTTTTACAGATTTCTAAAGGCACGCAATGTAACTTTTGACCACAAGGGGCGCTAGAACTGTAATTTTTATGTCTAGTGCCCCTAGTGGCCACATGCGCTGCAGCACTGTCGAGAAAGTCAACAAACAGCCAGCCAACGAACAAACTCCTTTCCATGATCGACTCTTGTTTTTCCTCGCCCATTATCCATTTCACATTTTCTCTTTTTAGCCTCCTCAGAAGGTTAAACTTTTTTCTTCCCTCGGCCATGATTCCAAGAGGGGAGCCCCACTTGTAGCACTGATATTGTCAAGTGCTGTGTATATTGGCCTGAGGAGTCATTTAAAATAACTCATATGCATCAACTCTTCAGGTCACAAATACAAAAAAAAAATAAAAAATACAACAAAAAAATAAAACCATTAAATTGGCGTTTGGTGTATTTTCTTTTTGCTTTGGCTGCACAGCCTCAGTACGTTGATATTTAAGTTAATAGGAAACAATTTTAAAATTCTTTTCTTTTCATTTCATGAAGAAAGTATGTCAAAATAATCATTAAAGTAAGCAGGAGAAAAATGAATAAAATAAGAAATATTTCTGCAATATCATTTCCCAATTTAATTAATTTTGGGTGAAATTTCCCCTCCTTGTGAAGATCTTTTATATTTTTTAGTCATATGCATCCGTCTGTGGTTGAGTGAGTTTGGATGACCAATAGTGGGTCACTATTGGTCCTCTTTTAAGTAATTTTCTTTATTTTGTTTTGCTAAACTGACATTTTTCCCAGTTTGTCTCATCTTAACAGTTGGTTGAGATTATTATAAGAACTTGTGATGGTCGCTGTCTGCATGTTGTTATTCTGGCTTCTATTTATTTATTTGTGGTCAGCTTAGTTTTTTTTTTTTTGCGTGTTTCAGAAGAATTTGCAAACATTTAAAATTTATTTGAATTTGCTTGTTTTCTTTTGTCTGCGTTTTGCTTTCCATCATGCCTCTGTGGCCAAATATTCTATAATACTCTACTTCCTAAATGTTTTGTTGCTATTTGGGGTTTCTGTTCATTTGTTTTGCCTCTCTTTAAAGTTTTTACATCTGTTATTCTAAATTCGGGTTTGAAAGCCTCCTGTAATATAACAATTAGTTATGTAACATGAGGCTAATGAGAAACAGGAGACTAGTTACATGAAACTGACCCCTGTTTGAGGTGCACAAACTATTTAGTGCATTTATCAAAGACAGCATCTCTAAATCAGCAAGGATTCATCATACTCACAAAAAACAGGTTGCAGTTTCTGTCTCATGTCCTCCCAACAGAAACAGGAAAAAAAGAAAAAAGAAAAGCAGAGCAATAACCAAACTCTGTGTTCCTCTTTGCTCTCGGCAGAAGCCACCCAGCGAGCACCAGGACTAAACCTGCTGACCTGACCCAGATATTAACCCAAGCCTCCAGATGTTAGGGAACGCTGGGATTACTCCACCACTGCATCCAGCTCCACATGCTTTCCTAATGAGGCATCCTGAAATGACCCTGGAGCCAGAGCGGACCAATGGCTTCACTATCAGACTGAAGCAGCCATTTTTTCTCTTGGTTTGTTTATTTAGGATATTCATTTTCTTGTTTTTTTTCTGATGATAAATAGAATCATATCTATATCTATCTATTGTGTTCAGCAGTATCTGAAATGTGCACTACTGCACTAAAAAATGAATGATAGATTAGCAGCTTATGAACATCTTAGGTTATTGAACTCTGTTTTTATTAGGATTTCAAACCATAAAATAATTTTAGCTTCTCTGAAACAAACGGTCTAAGCCTTTGGTCTAACTAGCAGCTAGATCCGCAAATAGCTAAATAGATAGGATATTTTTACACAGGTAAAAAAAAATCAATCAATTTGGCTTAAATATATATATAAAAAACATTATTTAAGCAGCAGAAGAAACATGCTTTTAAAAATGTTGAATTCTTTTATCTAAATATCACTAAAAATTGAACATATGTCATCATATAAGTAAAAAAGTAAGAACTGTATTTCAGAGACAATGATATATCTAAAGCGACCCACATGGCACAATGCACCACTAGCAAGCACCTTCAAAGCTGCATCTCAAAGGAAAAAGTAATTTATCAAAAATGTGAAACTCAAGTATAGGTACATCACATACAAAGCAGCGTAATTTAGGTCGTCACTAAATTTTATTTTGATGCAAATCTCTAAAGGCTAATGAAAATCTTTCCCTTTATTAAACTATGAATAATAATGTATAAACAAGGTTCTCCTAGTACTTTTGCTCTGTAGCCCTGTTAAAATCATTCTAATATTGCATTTCTGGTTCAGGAAGGGATAAAACAAAGGAACGCAACAGTCATAGTGGTGTCCAACAGCTCTTAAAGGTTACCCACATTGATTTTGCAACTTTTTCCTTCCACCAAACTTTCCTTTGATTTCCTTGCTTGCAGCACCATAAACAGCCATTGATTAAAGTTAATAACTAAAACAACTGTACTTACATAAATTAACAGTAATCAATAGAATTAATGCATGAAATATACATCTCTGGTTGTTGTAAATTATGCATGCATAACTTTTTTATTTTTCCTTAGATGCACCTGTGTGTGAGCTGTAACCAGATTGAGTTCTGAAAACATGAAGGTGAGATGCTCCTCTCTGCTCAGCTGATCCTCCAACCATGCATCACAATTACTGCTGAGGACAAATGTGCTACCTTCACTTTCACTCGTCCTCTGAACATCTGCACTTGTCATGACCTCAATGGTTGTTGCAGATTAAGGAATTTAACTCCTTATGTGCATCAATGTAGCTCTGGTAGCAGCAGCTGAATTCTTCAGGGCTGTCTTATTACCAACTCCAGCAGTGCTCTGCATAAGTTGCAAACTTCTCTGCAAGCGCAACAACCAACAAAAAAAACATACGAACATCCTGCAAGGGGTGATGAAATCCATCAAATCCAACCGGCCTGCTAAGTGGCTTAACTTGCAACAGAGATGAGGAAAGGGGACAGAAAATAAACAAAAAATGCAGCCTGCAGCCTACCATTTTGATCCAGCGCTTCGAGGCTCCAAGGAGTCCCGGAATAACTCCTTTCGCTGCGGTTTGCCCTTCGCCATGAAAACGATCCTTGGATTGTCACATTTCTGCAGCTTTATTTATTTTTATTTTTGCTTTCTCCGTCTGCTTCCCTGCTCGGACTGTAGCCGTTCAGACGGACAAAAATGCAGAGGCTGCTTTTGCAGGAGGAATTGGTGATTGGAGCTCTGGGATCATATGGGCTTTTTGTAAGACGCTTTTAAAGGGACACGGCGCAGTTTTTTAAACGGGGAAGGGGGTGGTTATGTTCATAGGTGTTTTTATTTTTTTCTCAAACTGTCCGTGAAGTTTTTAGGAAGAGGAACTGCGAAGGTCGCGCAGCGGCCATATGGCGCAAAGGCTGCTGCACGCGGCGTCTCATAGAGGTGTGGTGGGCTCCTGATGCTGAACAGTGTGACGTCAGGCGACGAGTAGACACGTGCGGAGGTCAGAGAGTTCACTGATTTCCCACATGACAGCAGCCACTGCAAGTCCATGTGCACCACTATAGTGACACAGGCGCACTTTTTGCGCAGGTAGCGCCATTATAATAATGCATCTCCATTGTAAATATAATTTCTTTAACAGGGTTAAAATTTAAAATAATTTCAGATGCAATCACTGTCAATATTCATTTTAACTTTTATGAGTCTGAGGAATAGCTAATGACATTCAGTGTGACAAAAAGGAGGAAGTTTATAGAAAACTGATTAATGCAATTTTAATTCAAATTTCTTTTACTTTATCTTTTTAAATCCATAGGGGCTGTTATCTCACCTTACAGTTCTCTAAGAGACAGGAACCTTAAGCAGCGGTGGATATAACACAAGATATTAATACTGAAGAATATACTGGCTGCATGTGTACTAGGTCCAAGCATATTAATGGATGTTTGGAGGAAGGGGAGAAAAGGGTGGATGCACAATTAAAACAGATAGCGCTCAGCCTGGAGAAGATTGTGGAGCGACGATCACTCAAGAGTTTGAGTCTGTGCTTCAAAGCCTACAACACAAACAAACATATCCAAGAAATGACAACAGCTGTCACTGAATACAGAATTGTTGAGGTGAAAACCTTTAAAACCACCAACTGGACAGCTGTCAGTCATTTACACTCTCCAAAGGGAGAGCCAGTCACCAAAGATCAGCACCAAAAGAATATATGTAGAGCATATTCATGGTACGGAGCCCCTCTGATGACATTGACAAAAAAAATGTTTAATTGTGGCCACGAAGTAGTATTTCGTGTGCACGAAGTAGTATTTCGCGGCCAAGCAATAAGTTTATTGTGCGCACGAAATACTTATTAATAATATCAATAAATCTGCCCCTGTTTTCAGGCTTATGTTAACTGTAATGACTTATCTTGGACAGGCTGCTATGTAAACGGGCCTTTAGTCCTTCGTTTAGCTATGCTGCTGTTGTTTACACTACGCCTTTTCCACCTAAATGGCGTCTTAGCAACAAATGTCACGTGACTGGCGGAGACCGACTGGGTAAAGCAAATCGAGCGCGCCTTAGACCTTAGAGAAGGCGCACTCGATTTGCTTACCCAGTTGTCCAGGAATGATATTTATATTATTAATGAGTATTTTTTGAGCACGTTAAACTTATTGCGTGACCACGAAATAGTATTTCGTGCGCACGTTAAACTTATTGCGTGGCCACGAAATAGTATTTCGTGCGCACGTTAAACTTATTGCGTGGCCACGAAATAGTATTTCGTGCGCACGTTAAACTTATTGCGTGGCCACGAAATAGTATTTCATGCGCACGTTAAACTTATTGCGTGGCCACGAAGTAGTATTTCGTGCGCACGTTAAACTTATTGCGTGGCCACGAAGTAGTATTTCGTGCGCACATTAAACTTATTGCGTGGCCACGAAGTAGTATTTCGTGCGCACGTTAAACTTATTGCGTGGCCACGAAATAGTATTTCGTGCGCACGTTAAACTTATTGCGTGGCCACGAAATAGTATTTCGTGCGCACGTTAAACTTATTGCGTGGCCACGAAATAGTATTTCGTGCGCACATTAAACTTATTGCGTGGTCACGAAATAGTATTTCATGCGCACGTTAAACTTATTGCGTGGCCACGAAGTAGTATTTCGTGCGCACGTTAAACTTATTGCGTAGCCACGAAATAGTATTTCGTGCGCACGTTAAACTTATTGCGTGGCCACGAAATAGTATTTCGTGCGCACGTTAAACTTATTGCGTGGCCACGAAATAGTATTTCGTGCGCACGTTAAACTTATTGCGTGACCACGAAATAGTATTTCGTGCGCACGTTAAACTTATTGCGTGGCCACGAAATAGTATTTCGTGCGCACGTTAAACTTATTGCGTGGCCACGAAATAGTATTTCGTGCGCACGTTAAACTTATTGCGTAGCCACGAAATAGTATTTCGTGCGCACGTTAAACTTATTGCGTGGCCACGAAATAGTATTTTGTGCGCACGTTAAACTTATTGCGTGGCCACGAAATAGTATTTCGTGCGCACGTTAAACTTATTGCGTGGCCACGAAATAGTATTTCATGCGCACGTTAAACTTATTGCGTGGCCACGAAGTAGTATTTCGTGGGCACGTTAAACTTATTGCGTAGCCACGAAATAGTATTTCGTGCGCACGTTAAACTTATTGCGTGGCCACGAAATAGTATTTTGTGCGCACGTTAAACTTATTGCGTGGCCACGAAATAGTATTTCGTGCGCACGTTAAACTTATTGCGTGGCCACGAAATAGTATTTCGTGCGCACGTTAAACTTATTGCGTGGCCACGAAGTAGTATTTCGTGCGCACGTTAAACTTATTGCGTGGCCACGAAATAGTATTTTGTGCGCACGTTAAACTTATTGCGTGGCCACGAAGTAGTATTTCATGCGCACGTTAAACTTATTGCGTGGCCACGAAATAGTATTTCGTGCGCACGTTAAACTTATTGCGTGACCACGAAATAGTATTTCGTGCGCACGTTAAACTTATTGCGTGGCCACGAAATAGTATTTTGTGCGCACGTTAAACTTATTGCGTGGCCACGAAATAGTATTTCATGCGCACGTTAAACTTATTGCGTGGCCACGAAGTAGTATTTCGTGCGCACGTTAAACTTATTGCGTAGCCACGAAATAGTATTTCGTGCGCACGTTAAACTTATTGCGTGGCCACGAAATAGTATTTTGTGCGCACGTTAAACTTATTGCGTGGCCACGAAATAGTATTTCGTGCGCACGTTAAACTTATTGCGTGGCCACGAAATAGTATTTTGTGCGCACGTTAAACTTATTGCGTGGCCACGAAATAGTATTTCATGCGCACGTTAAACTTATTGCGTGGCCACGAAGTAGTATTTCGTGGGCACGTTAAACTTATTGCGTAGCCACGAAATAGTATTTTGTGCGCACGTTAAACTTATTGCGTGGCCACGAAATAGTATTTTGTGCGCACGTTAAACTTATTGCGTGGCCACGAAATAGTATTTCGTGCGCACGTTAAACTTATTGCGTGGCCACGAAATAGTATTTCGTGCGCACGTTAAACTTATTGCGTGGCCACGAAATAGTATTTTGTGCGCACGTTAAACTTATTGCGTGGCCACGAAGTAGTATTTCATGCGCACGTTAAACTTATTGCGTGGCCACGAAATAGTATTTCGTGCGCACGTTAAACTTATTGCGTGGTCACGAAATAGTATTTCATGCGCACGTTAAACTTATTGCGTGGTCACGAAATAGTATTTCATGCGCACGTTAAACTTATTGCGTGGCCACGAAATAGTATTTCATGCGCACGTTAAACTTATTGCGTGGCCACGAAGTAGTATTTCGTGCGCACATTAAACTTATTGCGTAGCCACGGAATAGTATTTCGTGCGCACGTTAAACTTATTGCGTGGCCACGAAATAGTATTCCATGCGCACGTTAAACTTATTGCGTGGCCACGAAATAGTATTTCGTGCGCACGTTATACTTATTGCGTGGCCACGAAATACTACTTCGTGGCCACAATTTAAAATTTTTTTTGACCATGTCATCAGAGGGGCTCCGTATAATGGAAAGTTAAGTGGAAGAAAAACATTTTTAATCCAGAAGTTTTATGGTCTTACAACCAAAGGGCATGATTCTTTCTAATAATTTTGTATTGCAAAAAGGATTTAACACAATGTCAAGTTATCAGCTTTATTATTGTATAAATCAAAACCCCATCTTAAGGTCTGCAAAACACTTATATATATATATATAATAAATATATATGTATAATGTGTGTGTGTGTATATATATATATATGTGTGTGTGTGTGTGTGTGCATAATTAAAAGTAATCTCTTCATAATCACAAAGGTGCTCAACACTATTCTAAATCGAACCATATTCTAAATGTTTTATCTTAAAAAAGCAAAAAAAATATATCTTTTTTGTTTACACTTACACTTTTTTCTCTGGTTTAAAAGTGAGAATAAAGCCCTTTAGTATAGCAGTGTTATTTTAATCTTTTTCAATGTAGCCACAGGAGGTTGGAAATAAATCTGACAAATGATAATCAGGCAGCCTCGTTCTCTGTTGAAGCCAGAAAAAGGCAGACGGGACCTCCAAGCTCCTTTTAGATGTTGGATAGATTGTCCTGAGCTCTAAGATTTTAAATAAAACCTGACAGGATTTCACTTTTCCATAAATATAGCAAAAAAAATAAAGAAGTAGCAAAAATATAATTCATCAATAAAAAATTGCCAACTGGTGTTTTTCTTATAATTGATTCTATCAAGTTATTCATTTTCATCTCATAGTTTAGAAAATGTTTTTGATCATTTTCTAATTTAATTTTGTAGTTATAAAATTTGACTTAAATTTCTACTTATTATATTCTTTCTTTTATAAATAATTTTATAAACATTAACACGTTTGTCGTTCAACATAATGCATTTTAGTTTGAAATAATTTTAGCCCCCAAAGAAGCAGACATGGTACTTTATGGTACATGGTAAAAATATCTATAAAAGCTGATCTCTCTTTTTCTTTGGCATAAAGAATAAACTATTTCTACTGAACACACAATAAGTGAATATGGTTCTCACAGACATAAAGTTCTGCCTGCAAACCTGCCCTCTGCAGGCCAAACTGGGGCATTTGCCTCACTCAAGCCTTCCTGAAGCAGAGAAAATACCAAAATAAACGTGTCTCATCTAATTTTACATCGTATTAGATATAGGTTTGTATTAATCTACGGTAAAAAAAAATCTTATATAAGGGGAGC